CCCGCCACTCCCTCTTCTCCAGTCCCACCGGCCTCCTCACTCTTGCTGCCTCAGAGCTGTTTCTTCTTCCCCCAGAGATCTCCAAGGGCTACTTTCTCACTTTTTTCAAGGCTTTGCTCAAATGTTTCAAATGTTCGGCTCTCAGTGAAGCTGCCCTTTACCTCCTTATCTTACCTGACTCCCCTGCTGGACACTCCTAATCCATTTGACCTGCTTTTCCCCACAGCGCTTACTGTTTATTATTTTCATATCTCCCCTTCCTCCTCCACGAGAATGTGAACTTCATGAAGACAGGGATTTTGACTCAGGCCTCAGGCACATTATAGATGCTCAATAGATTTTTTTTAAATGAATGAATCCATTGTTATTTTATGACAATGGCAGAAAAGAGTGCTTTGGGTCAACATAACATGGATTACTACCTTCTGCTGAAATGTGTTGGCATCTTTGAGGGGGCACCAATAAACAGCTCCCCTTGCCTGGTCTAGGTCTAAACCAGGTAATAAATAAAGCTACGTTTCAGCAGACAAAGGACAAAATATCACCAAATTACTGACAGGACTAGTGAAAGAACATGCTCATGTCTGTAGGCAGGCCATTTACCTAACAGAGTACCCCCAAATTAAACACGTGTATCTGCAAGGCAGTCCTGGACCATGGCAGATCTCTCCCCACAGGAGCAGAATGAGTTCCCAGAGAAGCAGAGAAGCATTCCCACTCCCCAGAGTAAGGAGAGAGGAAGGAGCTGCGCTATCCATGCAACTTCTTCCAAATTCACAAATAACATGTGTTCCTTCTCGGAGGTTGGTGGGAGGTGAGCAGTTGAGGTGGATGTAGAGGAATGTGTAGTGAGAGGATAGAGGCCGGTAGTGTTACTCTAATAAACATCCCTTCATATAGAAGAAAACTTTAGGAATGAGGAAGAAGCATTGTCCCTAATGATATATATATATATACTATTCCTCTTTTGAAATTTTTTTGGTTAAAAGTAATATATCTCAGATATTTCAAATTGTTACTTTTGCTTTCAGCAAAGCTATAGAAGTGAAAAGTCAGTCAACATGCTTGGAATGGAAAGAATTGCTCAAAAGACAAAACTGGGATCGAACCCATCAGCTCTCAGGGAGGAGTTAGGAGAAGGCTATGTTTCTAGAATAGAGATCTTTCAATGAACCCTCAACTCTAGTAAATTACAAATGTTTTCAAATCACAGACTACTCCTTTGGGTTTTCTTCAAGGTAATGAGAGGCACATCATAAAAAAAGTACAGGTTTATTTGCGTGTTTTTTAGGTACTAACCACTGAGGATACAATAGTACACAAAATAAATACAGTCCTTGTCCTTATAGAATCTATTGGGAGGAAGTATAAGCAGAGTAGAGTGAAAATAGGTGTGTATATTGAGGTGAAAGGTGGGAAATAGTCATCAGCTTTCCAGAATGGCCCTTATGTTCCAGGCATATTATCAAGTGCAGGGGATATAACCATGAGACACAGTCCTGCCCTCAAAACAATAGAGAGTTTGCAATGGGAGAGAGAGAAATAAGCAGATAATAAAGACACAGTATAAAATGTACTGTGTCTTTGCCTGTACTTGGAGCTATGGTGACCCAGAGAAAGAAAATTTACTTCACAGTCTAGGTTTCAAGAAGACTTCTGGGGCCTGCCCAGTGGTGCAGCGGTTAAGTTTGCACGTTCCACTTCTCAGCAGTCCAGGGTTCCCCGGTTCAGATCCCGGGTGCAGACATGGCACCGCTTGGCAAAAGCCATGCTGTGGTAGGCATCCCACATATAAAATAGAGGAAGGTGGACATGGATGTTAGCTCAGGGCCAGTCTTCCTCAGCAAAAAAAAAAGAAGAGGATTGGCAGTAGTTAGCTCAGGGCTAATCTTCCTCCAAAAAAAAAAAAAAGAAGACTTCTTGGAAAGGTGAGTTTAAGCAACAGCATAGAAACAGCAGAGGAGAAAAGAAAAAAAGAAAGTGAGTTGGAAGACAGATTTGAGATGCTCACTCAGAATATATCGGAGTGAGTAATAAGGAGATGAAAGCACGGAATGAGAAAGTCAGAGATAGGTAGGATAAAGTGACCAAATTCCACATATGTTTAGTTGGAGTAAAAGGAGTCAGGAAAAGAAGGAATGCGGGAAAGACAAAAGTTCACATTTTTCCAGAATAAAGTGCTTGGAGCCCTCAGATTTAGAAAATCATCCTGCATTCTAATCAGTAAAACTAAAACCAAATCATACACATACATAAGAGTGAAATTGGAGAACAATAAGGAAAAACTGAAAGCTGGAAAAACCACCAAGTAGAGAGGAAAAATAGGTTGTTTACTAAAGATTAACAACTGGAGTAAGAGAAGCGTTCTCATTGACAATGATGCATGCTAGAAAACATCAGAATCTTATCTTGGAAGGAGAGTGGAAAAATAACCATCAGGCTAGAATTCTGTTCTCAGAGAAGTTATCACTCCAAGGTGAGAATGAAGTAAAGCCACTTCAAGATGCACAGAGACTAAATGTGTATACCCACAGGCTCTAGCAGAAAGTACTCTAAAGGATGAAATTTAACAAAGAAGAAGAGAGCAGGTAAAAAATCAAGGGTAATCAAAGGAACAGGGACAAGCTGGAAGTTGGTGTGACGAAGGTCTGGGGGAAAGAAGGGGTGGAGGGGACCCAGGAGAGAGGTCATCAGAGGCCTGTGACTGGCCACTCTTTTTCCTCTACTAGGGATCTGGGCATCTCCTGAAGGTTCAGGGAATGAGAGAAGGGTCTTAGGAGGGTGGTGACACAGTTTGAAGTGCTTTAGTAGGATCATTCTGGCATGAGGGTACAGAATGTGGGAGGGGAACAGGAGTGATGCCATGAGGCCAGTTAGAGGTTGTGGGTGTAATTTAGATGAGAAATGATTAGGGCCTGAACAAAGGTGAGGCAAGGAGGAAAGTGGTCAGATTCTGGAACTATTCAAGAAATAGGACCTCAGGACTCAGTAAATGATTCCATGTGGGGAGAAAGAGAGGAAGCATCAAGGATGTATTGTTTTGTTAGGGCAGCTTCAATGGAGTCCACCCGCAGTGACAGGAGGAATGGGAGGTGACAGTGGGAACACTGATAGCCTGTAGAACTCATCTGTGAATTGGTGGTGAGACTTAGAGGAGGAGCCAGGGCAAGAGCAGAGTAAAGAAAGATTTTAGGACAGAGGAGACTTATTAGCAAGTTTAAATGCTAATGGATGGAGAACAAAGAAGAGAGGCAAAGGTCAAAGGGAGAGAGAGAATAGGAGATGCCCATAGAACAAGGGCAGGAGAAGGTGGGAGGTAGAGAGCCTTGTAAAAGGAAGGACAGGGAAAGAGGCAGATAAAAGAAACGCACAATTGCCTCCTCCTTTGAAAGTAGCACCATGATGGCACAGAGCAGCGATGAGCAAATGCTGAGTGAATTAATGAATCAAGGATGAAAAGATGGGTAAATGATGGATACATTCAGGCAGGCCCCAAAACAAAGTAGGACGCTCAACTAAGGTGAGCCTGTGCTCAAGATAGGTATGGTAGCCCTCTAGTGGCCAAAAAGAAAATTCAGAAATTCTAATGGCTGGGAAGAAAATTTGACTAACATAAATAGGGTAAAAGCGTTGTTCTACAAAGATCCTGTCCTACCTAATCTTTGCTGTGTTTAGTTTCTTATGAATAGGGTTTAATGGCACATACACTATGAATTCACTCTTGTAATGAAGTAGTTAGAGTGAATGGTCAACGGAAATGAAGGCAGTAACCTTTCAACTATGATTAAAACTGGAAAAAAAAATACCTGTAGGAGGGGACTAATTACTCATGTATGGAATTTCATGTACAATCTAGATAAGATAAAAGTACTTATTCACTTTTAAATAGAGAAAGGGGGAAAGAGACAATTTTAAACAAATGAGCCTTTGATTGCAGAAGTCTCAAATATGATGAAAAGAGTATAGTTAAAAATAACAGCAAGAGGGGTTTTTAAAAAATTAAGCAAAATAAATATAAAACTGTAAAAGAAGGATGAACAACTATATCAATCCTTAAAAATTAACAATAATGTCCTAATGTCAAATTACTTTGAGTAAGCTCAGGAAGACTTATTTGTTGGTATAAACTGTGATTTTTTTTATGAGCCTAAGTGTTTTCTAAAGGAGATCAAGTTGAGTGTATTCTCAGGTTGTCACAATCAAATAAAATATTTGGCACCTACTCCAAGTTAATTAAATTGCAAAAGATCTCCAGTTTGTGAATCAGAAAAGTGTTTTAGATGACTTCTTAGGCCTAGTTCAGCTTTTCCATTACAATACATTTTATCAACAATGTACGCTGTCTTAGGTAGATGAAAAGAAAACGACTCTATTTAAGAGTAGAATTATTTGCGAGAATTGTATGCAGCTGGTGAGGGGCAGTGTGAGAGCGTGAGAAAAGAGTGAATATGGGAGTATAGATGTGGAACTTTGTCTACTCCATCTTTGCAGAATGTAAAAGCTCAAATTAGCAGAATTGAAAGAAACTCAGTTCTTTGGGATTTCTTGCTTGATTCTGAATCCTTTTTAATGTGCAGTTCAATACCACTTCATTTGAGAATAACATTATTAAAGACGTCATAATCATTCTCTAGACTATTTTAAAGTACCATATACATGTTGGCATTCTTTACGTTTTGTGTTTTTATTTTGATTTATTTTTTTTTGCCTGTTTTCCAAATTATCTTTATTGAATTCAGTAAACATTTATTGAGATCCTGAGTGAAAGGCCCTGAACCAGGACAAAGATGTATAAGGCACTGCCGTGTTGTTTATTAATGAGTTATTTTTATAACATTCAGGACAGTCATTTTCTCCCTGCAAAAGAGTTCTCAGGGCAAATAGTATGATGCA